TAACAACAGTAGAAAACAAATTTTCACCAAGATCTCGCACATACAATACATTTTCAAGACGACGCTGCTCCCACTGATTGTTAACTCATGAATCAATAAGAACTGTACCAATGCCTCGTATTTCGACATGACGGCGATCGGCCAACTTCACTTGACCGCCATATTCTCTCAATTCCGAGAACCATTCACGACGATAAGTCATATGACTCGTTGCACCCGAATCAACACACCAATAGTTGGATTTTGAATCGTCGTATTTGTTTGCACGCACAACCGTAGACCATGCTAACTCATCTCTGTCTTTCAAACTTTTATTGTCTTTGCTACTTGCACGTTTTTTGCTTTTATTTATACTGGATGAATTTTTAGACTTTGGACATTTTTTATCTTTCGCCCAATGCCCTATTTGACCGCAAGCGTTGCATTTGGTTTTCCTTTTCAACTCATCGATACTTGGCTTTGATTCACTTTTGAATTCATTTCGTTTAAACTTCGCAGCAAAAGCAGCATCTTCTGTTGCACATTGTTCATCATTTATTCGCTTCAAATGAAGACATCGGTGTATCAATCGTACGAGATTCTTTTTTGTTGTACCAGACAGTTTTGTAATTGTTAAATTTAACCGGCAAACAATTGATGATGCGCACCATCTTTAACTTTTCGGACAATTTTTCTCCTTGCTTTTCAATTTCAGATGCTAACTGATTTGCTTTGGCTACATACCCGGCCACTGATTCATCTTCTTTCATTTTTAGTGAAAAATATTCTTCATACAAGGTCATAACGCGGATTTCTGAGTTCTTTTCATAAACACTGTTTAATTTGATCATCATGTCTTTTGCTGTTTTACATGCCAGCACGAGGTTCGCATGTTATGAATCCAATGATTGAAAAATAGCATTCATGGCCCTTCCTTCATTTCGCTCAAAAGCATTTCTTGCATCTGCAGAAGCATCAGCTTCAGGTCTATTTCCTTCGATATTATCGGTTAAGCCACGCGCTTTCATGAACGCAGCTATTTGGAATTTCCATAACCGATAATTTGTACTATTTAATATGTGACCGCTGAAATTATTATCATCTTTTTTATTTCCGAACGAATCCATTTTAAAATGATTTGACACGACGACGCTTTTTATTCAGCTCGTGTCCACATGTACGCTACGACGAGACGGCTAATAGAATTCGGCAACGTAACTAAGTGCTTTTGGAATACAAAGTTCTCAATTTATTTGTCGGAAGCTTCAGGGGCATATAGCCTAACAGAGCTTAACGCAGAATAAAATACAATTATGCACAAATAAAAAGAAAAACGCAAAAGGTTTTGACTTTAAGTATTCGCTTCTTCGGAAATAATCGCTTTAAAAATGACGTTTTATACCAAAGAAAAAAAGAGTTACCAACTTAACATGATTTTGTTTAAGACAATGTTAAAACTCAACAAGAAAACACATTCAGTCGCTAAAAAATCACTACGAAGAGGTAGCAGACGGTGTAAACAAAACCGAAAAACGGCGAAAACGCTACGAAAACTTTTTTCTGAAAATCGATTACAAATACAACGATGGCTGATTAGGTGATCTGTAGTCGTTGGTTCATGCATGTTACTCATGATGCAATAATACAAGGTGGTATCAGTTGTGACAGCTCGATTTTACACTGCCTTAGCTCAGTAGAATGAGAAGAAAAACGGGAAGAAATGAATCCCCATATGGGGGGAAAATATAAAATTTCCCATTTTCTCTTAAACAAAATTTGCTTTTTTATAGTGTATTCGTTATGAAATGAAATAAAATAAGATAAAATACCTTTTTAAGAAAACAAAGTGTGTATACTGAGAAAAAATAAAAAACATTCAACTATATTAATGGGCAGAGAATAGTTAAAGAAGTAGCATTGTTCCACGTCAATATGGCGGAATTAGAGCGAGAAGTTGCCAACTGATAACACCTTGTATTATTGCATCATGCACAGTATATACAGCAATAAACCTCTTCGCAGGTTTTTACCAATTGGTCCCCGAGGAGTACTTTTGGGTTGTATGCAGCGTTTTCGTTTTACGCGCACGCCAACACCTACTGTGGGGAATTTCGCCTCACGATTAGAAAAAGGTCCTTTCGAGGATAAAATATATATAACTGTGTTATTTATGAACAAAATGTAGGTTAAGTACAGTATCAATTACCATGTTTATACGTAAGCTATTTGCAAGTAAAAATAATTTGCAAATACCTAACTGACCGTTTATTTTTTATTTAATATTGCCTGATTATAAAAAGGCAATACTATGACCATCGAAAAAGAAATTAAAGTTAAAAATGTCAACGTTTTGATTATAAAAAGGCAATAAGATGACCATCTAAAAAGAAAATAAACCTAAGAATGGCGGCGTCTTGAGCTTATTTGCAAATAGTATCACTAATCGATACTTATTTGCGTCATTTAGTTATTTGCAAATAAAAAACTAACTCAGCGTTTAAACGGCAAAGTTTACCATTTTGCAAATTGTTATTTGCAAATAATACGCGCGTCAAAACGTAGTAAATATTTAATTAAGAATATTATCAATATCACGTCGTATTTATATTAAAAAACGTGAAATTTGTGAATTTATCACGGAAAACTCTAAATTTTCGAATATATTGAAGTATTTATTCCAAAACAAAAAAAGGTTTGCTTAGTTATAGAGACTTCAATGCCTACCAGCGCATCCGCCCAGACAGCTCATTAAGCACACCCAAGTTTGGGCGGAACTCGTCAAAAATACTTAACATCAAAGTATAGAATGTCACAAAAATGAATCATACACAAATACAATAGCAATTGCTATAAGTTGCTACCGTATTGTTACGATTATCCTCGAAACCCTGAGGGATTTCTCAAATATTCTAGAGCTCTTATCGCTGGTTTGTTGAATAAATTCTAACGATGACCAAATTGTAGTACAATTAACTTTATTGTACAACAAACAATTTACAATACTTGCTAATACAGTAAAAACACTTTACAATACTTGTTAAAGCAATAACAACGCTTTGCTGAACTTGTTAACACAATTAAACTTATAACTTGCTTGTTCGCAACTCACTTCTCTGCTCACTTTACTCGTAGCTTGCTGATTGTAACTAACTTACCTCGCTGTGGCGGCGCCCTTATATACCTGCGCTGGCACTTATGGCAACTCTAGAACATTCTGAAGTTTATCGCTCATTCTCTTTCTCTCGCGTTTCGCAGTGTTCATCCAACTTGACGTTTCTCTTTGCGGAACATTCTACGTCATTCCTCGAACATTCTGCCTATTTCTCGTTGTTCGCTTTGTGTTGCCGCAGTATTCGCCACACTGCCCTCCACCTAAGTCTGATCGTCCCGATCAGACACACTTGCCGCTCCAACCGCTGCAAGTCTTTCCAAGTGGACCACTTTCATCTTGTCCTCGGTCTCCCCATTGTCTGGATTCGATGCACTGCGTCCTTCAGCCGTTTGTCAATCCTATACAGACCTATCCAGTTACGATGTTGTTCGGAGGTGAAGCCTTTCTTCGGCTGCGGCATGTGCAACAACACCGAATCACCGTCCTGTAGCTCCTCTCGGCTCGATGCGTTACTGGACATTGCTTCCAGCTTATCTCCGGTGGTGCACCATCTCACATGGTCGTGCTTCTGCCGGCCACTGGTGGTGACCAGACCATGCCTCTTCTCATGGTCACCCTTTTCGCCAGATCTATGCCGCATCATCTGTCCATGACACCCAGACTCCCGCCTTCGTGCTGCACTGCCTTTAGCACATCTTGCTACATCCGGATCCTTACCCTGAAATTTCCGCCGTCGTTTCGTATCTCGCTCTTTTGCCGATGCTAACTTCATTGACCGGACATGTATAATCTCAACCTTGGCTTCCGGCTTAACTGCTCACCTTTTCCGAACACCTTTTTCGGGACACTTCAAAGCGCGCCTACTGCTTTCACAGCCGCTTCCATTTCCGGCCACCGGCGTATCACCATTGCAACGTGGTTCAGTGGCTTTCCTCCAGCCGGAAACACTGCCTGGCTCGCCATGACCACTTCCTTGTTGCGACCTCTTCTTCACTGGGCTGGCGGAACCGTCACGCTTTTCCTGTATCGCTTCCTTCTCCAGACGAAACCACTCCGTCTCCATCACTGCCAACCTCCGCCCAACTAATCGCTCCCGTTTCTGGTGGAATCTTCGACATTTCCTCTAAGGCTAACCGTCTGCTGCAGCACTGGCTGTCGTAACCAACCCTAAGTGGCACTTTCCTGTGACGATCTGTCAGGATCATTCTCTGGCGGTCAATCTTCATGCCTTGGCCAAGTAAGAAATCCACGCCGATGATGACTTCATCCACAATGTCTGCCACTATAAACTTAGTGTACGAGGCCACATCGTCGATTATTACCTCGCATGGTACTTCTCCTAACACTTGGGTGCGTTCACTAGTTGCAGTCTGCAGCTTTGCTCCAGGTAGTGGCTTCACATAAAAAGTAGTCACATCAGGTCGAATAATATGTGACGCTCCAGTATCCACTGTCAGCACTCGCTCCTGCCCATTCACACATCCACCAAAAGTGAGGTTGCTCGTATTCCGGCCAATTTGTGAGATGGAGATTATTGGCCCTTCAACTTCTGGAGCAAGCACGCGGCCCTTTCTGCTGGCTCGTTTTAGTTTAACGACTGATTGGAGTTGGCTTCGTCTCCTTCAGCCATGCGTTTGCGTCCTGCTGAATTGTTGAGCGCACTGGAACTTGCGCTGCAATCGCGGGCGAAGTGGCCTGGCTTTCCACATTTAAAACATTTGTCAGAGCCATGCTTTTTCTCGCCCAGCAGTTGGATAATCTTCTTCAGCATTTCATTTGTCTCGTCCGGTGTTTCCACTTCCACGCGATGTGCTTTGTAGGCTGGTCTACTTAGGAGCGCCGCCGTTTCACGCGCCTGAGCATACGAGACAGTTTCAGCAAATGTTGGCTTTGGATTCGCGTACGTCTCTCGCTTGGTATACACGTCCCGCATTCCGTTGATGAACCTCTGGATTTTTACTCTTTCAAGGTGCTCACCAGATGTGTCTCCAATTGCCAAATGAGCCAGCCTTTCAATCTCAGAGGCGAATTCCTGTAAAGTCTCGTTGGATTTCTGGCAGCGATTCTCCAGCTCCATCTGGTAAATCTGTCTCCTGTGCTCGCTACCATAACGTCTTTCCACTGCACCCATTAGCGCATCGTAATTGTTCCTTTCACAGTCGGGAATAGTCTGCAAAATTTCCGCTGCAGGTCCTTTCAATGCGACGAATAACGCAGCGGATTTATCCTCCATGCTCCAATGATTTGCTGTAGCTGTCTTCTCAAACTGGAGCTTAAAGACCTGGAAAAGAATAGTGCCATCAAAGGATGGAGTCTTTACCTTGGGAGCGTTCGTCGAATTAGCTGGACGACTCAACTGCAAACCCCGGAGACGATCTTCAAGCTCATCCACCTTAGCTTCGACTTTGTCCTGTTATCTTGTCGTTCCTCGATTTTATCCTGTCTCTCTCTGAGTTCCGAATTATTTTTGAATAAATTCTCTTGAAGCTGAGTAATCTTTTCATCTAACTGCGATGACATGCGTGTTTCCTGCACTTGCAGCTGGGATGATATCTGTGATATGGCACCCAATAACATGTTCATGTCTATAGCCGTTGACGCACAAGGAGCCTTTCCCTGCTCTTCAAGCTTCGCTGATGTCTGCTCCACATCATTCGATGAACCAGCAACCTCTTCCTTGTCTTTGTCCTTCAAGGATGCCTCGTCATCCTCACGATGGAAGTCGTGTTTGTCAACGTCGATGCCTTCCTTTTCCATTGCCTCTCGCAACCGTGATAGCAACTCCACTTTTCTTCCGGAGGTTGCTAAATTTCGTTTCTCCAACTCCTGCTTGAGTTCCTCAATCTTCTAGATCCTGAAATGTTTGCCATTTTCAGTAGTTTATCCTTCGGGATTTATTTAACAATCCCACTTCTGACACCAATTGTTACGATTATCCTGAAACCTTGAGGGATTTCCCAAATATTCTAGAGCTCGTATCGCTGGATTGTTAAATAAATGCTAACGATGACCAAATTGTAGTACAATTAACTTTATTGTACAACAAACAATTTACAATACTTGCTAATACAGTAAAAACACTTTACAATACTTGTTAAAGCAATAACAACGCTTTACTGAACTTGTTAACACAACTAAACTTATAACTTGCTTGTTCGCAACTCACTTCTCTGCTCACTTTACTCGTAGATTGCTGACTTGTAACTAACTCACCTCGCTGTGGCGGCGCCCTTATATACCTGCGCTGGCACTCTAGAACATTCTGAAGTTTATCGCTCATTCTCTTTCTCTCGCTGTTCGCAGTGTTCATCCAACTTGACGTTTCTCTTTGTGGAACATTCTACGTCATTCCTCGAACATTCTGCCTATTTCTCGTTGTTCGCTTTGTGTTGCCGCAGTATTCGCCACAGTATAAATTCAACACACGCATGCGGTTGGAGACTGCGTTGGTTATGGTGGGCATAAGTTCAGCCAACACATTCAATGGTCCATTACCCGGAGCTGCTCCAATATGAAGAGTAGATTTTAGTGAGCCGCACAAGCCACTGCCTCTGGTTACAAACTGGATATCTTTTTAAAATAATAAGAAAAGTGTTTGTTTACAAAATTACCTGTGCCCTCTGCCTTAGTACGGTTGTTGCTCCCTTTCATACCACAGTAATTTTGTATGCAACTCTGAATCAGCAAAATTCATGCTCCTTCTCATTATCAACCCTGATCACATTTTACCATCGAGGAGTACTCAAAAATGTTTATTACTGTATATACTGTGATACATACATCAAATTTTACTTCGTTATGAACAATTGTTAGCTGTGGTGCCAAATATAGAAGAATTCGGTGAATTTAAAGAAACAATTAATAAAAATCTGTGTATTTAATTTGTAAATAAAAAAATGTGCAAAAAAACTTTTTTTCATCTATGTGGATAGAGAAGAAAAAATTTGAGGCCAGTGTGTTTGGGCCGACTGTGGAGGCAGTGACCACAGTGCTGAAATACAATAGTTGCGTTCCAGATGCTTCAATAGGGTTTATTAATGGAGAAAGCAGCGACGAAAATTCAGACCCTGATGTAAAATTAGAAGAATTGTCTGAGCTCAGGAGCTCTGAAAAAGCTTGAGAAATAAAGTTAATATTCGACAACATATTTTTACAAATAAAAATAAAAACACATAAACAAAATCAAATTGCATTTTTTAATTTGGTTTCATGTATTTTTGGATATCTCGCTGTCATCTATTCACTTATTGACAAGTATTTAGAAGTTAGAATAGTGGTCATAAAAATCACTATTTATCGTTTCCCAATGGTTTCATCGCTAAATTCAGTTGTACATCACCAACTAGATGACATGTATGAGCGAGTGAACATACTGTAAGGCAAATGCGCCCATGTGTGTGCAAGAAAAAAGGTGTTCGCACGAGGCAATTTTGCGTTCAACTCGCGCAGGGTTGCACGAAAAAAAGTTGAATGGCTAAATCTTGGCTGGCGACCAACTTTGTTAAAAGCGATTAGTTGAAAGGCCGTTCAAGCAAAAGCAGAATGTAAAGTTGAACAATGCAAACGCCTTTTTATGGCGAATATTTTGATATATTTTTATATTTTGATATTTTTAGCCATTAAATTTTTTTCGTGCAACCCTGCGTGAGTTGAACGCAAAAGTTGCCTGAAAAATCGCCTCGAGCGAAAGCTCGAAAAGGGATACACTATCACAGTGGTAACTTTTTCCCCCAAGCCCATACAAAACTAACCGCTAAACTGACGAAAAGTTTTAGTCAGTTTTCCCACTAATTTAACCGATAATCATAGGTCATGGCACAATAACTTGTGTTTTCGTCCATGTAAAATCTGTCAAACGAAAACCAGTTTTCGCTGAAAACTACTTGAAAACTCACGTTCCACTCATTCCAATCGGTGTCTTCACTAGTTTTTTTCGATTAGTTATCGAAGTGGAAGTCATATTTTATCATCTTTAATACGCTATTTCGGATTTATTGTTAATTGGCTGGCAAACGTAAAATAAGAATGAAAGTAAGAGGTTGCTGATGAAAAGAAAAATGAGGGAAAAGCATTTTGGTTTTGGTTTTTGTGTAGCAAAACTGTAATCAGAGGACGTAAGAAATGTCAACGAAAACACGTAACAGCCGGTGTGAACAGTCTTCAGCCCACAATCCCAAAACACGTTTTCAAAGTGTTTTCGTTGTCGGTCAGAACATGGTATTAAAAATTCACGCTATATATTAAAACTAGTTTTTTACTATTAATTCATTTTAGTTTAGTTTAAAGATCAGATAGAGGTTATTGCAATTCGAATTATAACTATTTATAGAAAAAAGTTTGCTGATTGGGGGTTTTGCAGAATAATCAAAATATCGGTTCTTTAGATTTAAATACTATGTTAAACTAAGTTTTTAACACAGAAATCATTGGTGTGCAAACTTGTTCCTTTCTATTCCGACGTGCCCAGGTAACCACATAATTTTAATGGTGTTTTTGCGTCGAAATAGTATTTCACGTGATTTCGAAATTATATGAGGGTCATTAGCAGAGTTAAAAAGGCTTCGATTGCTGATTTACTGTCCGTGCACATGAGGAAATTTCCTTCGTTTCTAGAGGCGAAAACGTACAGCTTCTAGCAATGCAGCTGATTCGGCTGTAAATGCCGAGGAGTACGCGGGAAAAGCACCTGTGAGAATTGTAACACCTAGCCCTTTTGTTACCGCCAAAAAACAGCCTGTGTCATATCTGGAACCGTCTGTGAAAATAAGCTCCCAGGTCATTTAGAGCTGGAACTGGGCAAATGCCCTTGCGGTAGAATTTTTACTTTAGTAAGCGTCGGCGTAGATATGATTTCCAAATATTTAATGTAGCTTAATATACGAAATAAAGCTGATTCCTTGCTACATCGGTTTTTTTGTTGAAAGCAGGATCCGACGTGAGAGATAGCTTTTATTGGCGAGGTTGGAAATGCACAGGTGCTTCTTCTCCTCTTCTGCATGGTTTCTAGCAATTTAAGATGTTTTTTTTGCGCTGTGTCCCAAAATTACGAGTCCAAAGTCAAATTTTCCTAAAATAAGAGCCCTAGTATGTTAGAGGCAATTATTTTTACTTGGGTCAAGGCCTTGGTCTTGGAATAAATTCAAATATCATCAGCGTAAGCAAGATGATCTACGTGCGTGTTCACCGATGTAATGGAGCTAACTTTCCCAAAGGCGATATTGAATACAATAACCGAAAGTGGTGATCCTTGTGGGGCATCATTAAAGAGAGGAACAGATTTTGAATAACAGTTATTGACCCGTATAGCAAACTTCCGGTTATAAAGGAAAGTCTTGATAACATTGTACATCCTCTCACCAATTTTCCAAGGCTTTAGTTATAGCAGAATAATATGGGAAGCTATTCTGTCATAAGCCTTCTCAAAATCAAAACTTAGAACTGATACAAGATATTTTGATGCAAGAGCCGTAGAGGAAAAGTGATCAAAAATTAACAGAGGGTCCATAACACTTAAGCCCTTTTGGAATGCGAATTGGTGCGAATTCGTTAAGTCATTTTGTTCTTCAAACCACCTTTTTGAAATAATTTTTTCTAATACTTAAGATATGCAGGAGAGGAGGGGAAATGGGTGTGTAGTTAGAAATAAAAGAATTGTTTATATTTAATTTGGCAATAGAAATAATAAGAGCAGTTTTCCACTCTTGATAATATAACCCTTGAGATAGAATGTAGTCATGGAGTTAAAAGACAATGGCAGTAGTCATAGAGAATTTAGAAAAAGGTTTTAACGATTAAAATTGTGTTTTATTGTAATCACCATTTTAACTTTTTCAAATTCAACTTAAAACGCATTTTATGGAAAAAAAAACGGAATTTTAACTTTAAAATGAGGAGAACGCGGTTTTAAAATGGTAAAACAAGGTTCCAAGTTTTGTTTTGTTGTTGAAGCTGTAAACGCAATAGCACCCAGGTTCGGTCCCACTCTGAGCGATTCCAAACAATTTTTTTTTTATTTTAACATAAACATTTATTTTTATTATCTTTTTTTGTTTATGGTATTTCATATAATTATTTCGTTATTAATAAAATTTTTTTGAGTTTAATTTTAATTTAAAAGTCCACAACAACTATAATTAAATAACAAAAATTTAAATAATATTTAAAAGAACAAAAAAAGATGTAAAAAAATGTTCCCTGGCAGTGGGACTCGTACCCACAACTTCCCGGCTTGATAAATCCGCAATCCTGCAGCGGACATAGGTTGAACTAATTAAAGTACTCATATTTGTATATATTGCCGGGTAAATTTATTATCTTCATTTGGATAGCACTGTTCCCTCTCATCTTAACCAAAAGCTGTTTCTAAGATTTCTATGATTAACAAACCTTAAAACTCTATTCTGAACTTAAAACTGTATTTTAACAAGAATGAGTTTTAATTTGCGACTAATAGCGATTCTACAATAGCGCAGTGGCAGTGGCAGCGGCAGTTTTTCGAACTGTTACTGCGTGTTAAAAACTGTCGCTGCCATTGCCACTGCGCTATTGTAGAATCGCTATATGACTATGGGCCTCTATGTTTGACGGGATACGGATGATTTTCTAGTACGGGATTTTGTCTGCGCCAGGGCTTTTGCCTGTCATCGAAGAGATGGTTCCGTCAAACCCTTCAATAGAGATAAGAATAAGTGAGAATTGTGGGAATCTTCGGACCAAGTGGAGGCAAATAAACATATACACATCGCTCATTTACTTTAGTAGTGTCATAATCCACAAAATACAAATTTTGAGTTGAGTATGCAGAAATTATCGCTACGTATTTTTTTGTCATGTAAAAATGTCATAGCTGTATCGATTACCAGTATCTCACTAGAACAAAATATGTATTAATTTTTAGTATCGGAGTATATTTAAATTCAAAACTTAAAAGCCGTTTTTCTCACGATGTAGGGAGACAGAGGTGGCGCAATCAGCAGTGCCGCTACTTTTTTCTTGGCGAATTTGACAGCATCAGCTGTTCGTGTGACGGCATTTTAGCAAACTGTTGGTATGTATGCAGAAATGTTTATATGTATGTAAATATGGCGACCTCCATGGTTTGACAGTTAACACTCTTTCTCTCCTCCATCTCCAATTATTCTTTCCTTTATCTACACTATTCGTTTCTATCTTGACGTCATCACCCGAAGGAATGCGCAATCTTGTATTCTATCATTCTTGCGTTCTTCTCGAGTTTTAATTTTTTGAGTATTGAAATTATTGAAGTAAATGAGCGGACATGTACATACATATGTACGCTACCGGCCAAACCCGATCTTAGGACAAACCATTTTTGTAGCTCTCATCAGTCCAACACAAACTATGTAGTCCACAAGATTGTTTTATCCAATTTGGTTTTGGTTGGACAGACATATCACATTAGGTAGAACTAGTTTAGCCTGGGTCAAAACTAGTTTGTCCTAATATCGGATTTTACCGGTAACATATACATACATACATACATAGGCACATATAACTTACCTGCCACAAAAAATGTTAATAAAACAAATTTTCTAGCAAAATTGTGTAGACAGAGGATTTTGCTCTTATACCAAAATATTATTACAGATAGTGGAATTTTCAAAATGAGAATATAATACCATTAAAGCTATATTTTAAGTTTGGCATTATTGTCATGGCTGAAAGATTAATCGGAGCTCACGTTACCATCAAAAACTCATTTTCATCAAAATTGCAGGTAGAGGGTATTGAATATAAGCCCTCGATATATTATATATAAATAGATTTATTTTGTCAATTTCAACTATAAAAATTTCATAAACATTTCTTTTATTAGTTTCCACCCAGCAACATGCGATAAGCGGTTTTTCTCACTTGCAAGCTCTTACTAGCAAAAATTTATCCAGTAAAAACTCTCGGTGGGGAGAATGCAGAAGGTGGCGCCGATGACAATACCGCTAATCGGCTCTCAGTGAATTTGACAGATTCAGCTGATTTGCTGACGTCACAGTCGAGATGACAGCAGTAGGGATGTGCCGAGATAATACTTTTAGGTATCCAATACATTGCTACTCTTTCTACTACGGTTTTCTAAAGTTTTAAGTGAAAAAAGAGCACAAGGCAACCCATGCTTGCCACAGAAATTTATGCCCGTTCCATTATTTCTTGAGAAAAGAGCGAGCCAACAGGCTGGGGAAGTATCAGTTGTCAAAATTCCTTGGACAGACACACGAAATAATGGCAATTTTTTCTAGACCGTTTTCTTGTGAACTGCATATCAGCCTGTATATAGGGATGCAAACTATGCATCGGTATTTTTGAAACATCGATAATATTGGTTCGAAATTCGATGTTTGCCATCGATGCTTATAATTTTCAAAAATCGCTAAATTCATGATACATCGATACCAATTTCAGCGATGTTGTAACATCGACGTTAGTGTAATATTACGTTTCCACCAAAGTGAAACCCTGGGTTTGCAGGTTTTGGGTTTGAGAGAGTTGTCAACTGTTTCGACTGCGTGTTTGATCAAAATTGTGTTGAAACTGTCATATTGTTATATTGATTTTGTCATTTTATTTTAAAATAATAGATAGTGAGGTGACGACATATTATTTAAAAAAGAAGATAAGAGAAAATAAAATGCTTTTGTCTATTGCTGCCAATTTACTGGACCCAAGAATAGTGCGTTCACAAAGTGTCTGGTGTTTGGTATGTTAGCAATTTGAAGATACAAATTTTGGTTTATAATGAATATATTTTAGGAACATTCCAGTACCTTTTGGGAAGTAGACTGCCAGTAGAATGGCTCTAAGTTTTTCAAAGAGAATTTCCGGATGAATAGATCCAGCTTTGACGAATTATGTAGTCTCCTAAAAAAATTACCAAAAAGGACACAAATTATCGGGATGCAATTCCACTAGAAAAGCGCGTTGCAATTGCTCTTTATGCATTAGGATCTTCTAGTTAATATAGGTCAATTGCACACTTATTTGGAGTAGGCAAAACTACTGTTTGCAAAATATTTATTGAGTTTTGCAATGAAGTTTGGGCAAGTTTGGCGCCAATTTATTTAAACAATTTTCCCCTTAAAAGGTCGCAAATTGAGCAGGGAGTTGCAGATTTCAATGCAATGGGTTATCCACAATGTATTGGAGCTATAGGTAGGCTTAAAAGTAATGCGATGGAAAAGAACTTTTATCAGAAACGGTTTTATAATACAGATGGATGTCATATAGAGATACACCCAAAAAAAGAAGAAGCCATTGATTATCCCAACTACAAAGGGTGGTATTCAGTCGTACTGTTGGCTTTAATAGACGCAAAATATAGATTCAGTTATATCCATTGCGGCAGCCCAGGAAGGTGCAATGATTCCTCAATTTTTGAAAAGTCGTCTCTAAAACGGGAGCTGCAGGAATGCGCACTCCTTGATGAATTGAGCTGGCAGTATGGATCCACAAAAATACCAGTGCACGTTATAGGTGACTCAGCCTTTCGCCTATCTCAGCATTTAATGAAGCCATACCCGCATAGCGTAAACAACACACCTGAACAAAAAAAATTCAACTATAGATTATCCAAGTGTCGACGTGTTGTGGAAAATGCTTTTGGCCATTTAAAAGCCAGGTGAATACAAAGAAACGTTCTTGTCTCTTTCCAACATGGTTAAATTTGTATGCTATTTTAGATTTAGAAGAATTGGAAAAGGCGTGGATAATCACATAAAAAATGCAAACACTGTGATTTGTGCTGCATGCGTTTTACACAATTTTTTAATTGCACAGAAGGACTCTATCGTAGAGAATCGGGTAGTAGAAATGCAACGAGATAGCAGGTGCAACCCGCAATGCAGCAACAACCAAAGTGATCGATCTGAAGGAGAATTGATAAGAAATTCTTTAAAGGAATATTTCCGTAAGTATATTTTTTAAAAAATTGTTTTACTTACATAATGTCTAAATGCTTTTGTCAAAAAGCAGATAATCGTACCTTTCTTACGATATACATAACTTTAAGGTTTGACTATGTATTATATGCACCAAAATTATTATTTTTTTTTCAGAAACTTCAAATGAAAGGTATTTTAATTACTGGTGTACTAATTTTTCCAATTGGTCAATTAGTTTTTGAAATACTCCATTTTTTATAAATTTAAAATCTGAGATTTAACCCTCAATATGTTCTTTTTTAACACGGTTTTATTCAGCACAAAAAATTCTATCGAGCCTTGCTTCCATTTTTTTTACGCCAAAGGGCGGTATTTTTTACTTCTGCCATGAATCATCAGGGTCGAATCACAACATATGCTTCTACTCCCAAAACACTAATTGATGAGACATAAGGCGTTAATAAACGTTAAAAATTCATTTATTTTAAGATCACTGAATAATGACATAAATTTACAGAAATAAAAAATTCAAAGCTAGCACAAAATTCACAAAAATTAATCAAACTTAAAAAAATTAATCAAAGTTTCAAACTTTTCATTAAGAACTTTAAGAATATTTTCGAGTATGCAGTTTTGTATCACGTTTAATTTTAGTACAACAAAGTGCAAGTTTCAAGTCACTAAAAAATTACCTTTGATTTTTTAGAATTTGTTTTTCGAAGGTGTTCAGCATTTCGTTCATGCGTTATATGGAGGAATTATATGTACACTGGCAATCAAAAGTGAGTACATAGTGTTTTGTGTTTAATATTAACAATGTTTTTGAGTTAACATTTTTTTGTTATTTTTATATAAATATGGTTCATGCTTTAATAAAAACCACATAAGTCAAGCTTTCAAACTTTATACAGAACTTAGAAAAATTCAATGAATTTTCGTAAAAATTTTGACCTTTTTAATCTGAATTTTTAGAAAAATTTTGAGTACGCAGATAGATTGGTTTTTTAATTCTAGACAAGAGCAAGTTTTAAGCGGCTAAAAAATCGCGTTGATTTTTAATGAATTTTTTATTGCTGACGGCTTTTTGCACATTTTACCATATAAAAGAAAATTTCTTGTAGCCGCATAAACTTGGTCTTGTTTTACTAGAATTAAAAAACCAATCTATCTACGTACTTAAAATTTTTCTAAAAATTCAGATTAAAAAGGTCAAAATTTTTACGAAAATTCATTGAATTTTTCTAAGTTCTGTATAAAGTTTGAAAGCTTGACTTATGTGGTTTTTATTAAAGCATGAACCATATTTATATAAAAATAACAAAAAAATGTTAACTCAAAAACATTGTTAATATTAAACACAAAACACTATGTACTCACTTTTGATTGCCAGTGTACATATAATTCTTCCATATAACGCATGAACGAAATGCTGAACCTAGCACTTTTTTGTACTAAAATTGAACGGGATACAATACAATATTATTTTGAATTTTGCTACTATCCGCTACTGTATATAAAATTTGCTTTCATTCATCAAAGCCAAAGGGTTTTTAGTTAACTAAAATAATATACATATCAAGGTGTATTTAACAAGGTGGTGTTAGCCGTATATAATTAAAAAATTACACTAACAAATTATACGCAGAAATTCATACTGTCATTGGTATGAATTACAACAAACCCATCATTTTGGCGTAATGCTTTTCAAGGCGAAAAATTCAGCTGCCACCCCAACACCACCTTGTGAAATACACCTTGATACATATGAAGACACTATGAGTGCACCAGCGATTTTTAATTAGTTTCGCTCCAAGAAGCTAACGACGCTTTGGGACAATATCTCGATTGCAGCTACCTTTTTCTTCTCAATTTCAATCAGCTCTGCAGTTAATTTATTGTTTTCTGCCATGGCTGTTTTAATGGTTTCGTTTAACTCGCTTATTTTCTGATTTTTTGTTTTTGTTGCAGGTGTGGAGACTTCGCTGAGGGCTGGAGACGATGATGCCGAAAATGTAGGGGACGAATCAACTGGAAGTGAAGAGCATGAAGGCGAAATTGGCGACGTAGGCGGCATAGCTATACAACAATAAAAATTGTAAAACCCTCTTAATTAGTAATAATTAATATACATAAATAAAATTACCTGTTATACTATCCACCACGACAGCATCAACATTATTTATTCGGTCGTTTCCTATAATGCGATGTACTCTTTCATAATGCTTCCAAGTAGCAGGAGAACACCCTGTTCCTTGGCCTACTTTGCATTTTCTGCAAAAGACAATTCACAGCATTACTAAAATGAATACATAGGGTGCCTTCCAAAACGTCAAAATACAAAGCATCAGTCTCTTTTACTTCTAAATCTCAGTAGATTGTAATGCCAAATGTTCGCAACCACGGTTAGATGCTAGTTTTCAACTAGGTTGCGCAAGTTAGACTTTTTCTTCTAGTGCGGTTTAGATATAAAAGAGACTGATGCTTTGTATTTTGACGTTTTGGAAAGCACCCATACTTATAAGTATGTATGGAAAATGTTTAGTTATTTGTACAACGATTTTGTGGTCTACGGAGTCCAGGCTTTCAGAAAATATATCCTTCCCCTCTTAGACCCCTCTACGGAACCACCGGGGGGGGCCCATTTCAAACTATGGTAAAATTAGCATTTCAGTATAGAAAATGTAAACTCTGGTTATGCTGCCCACAGTATTTTTGCACAGAACACCTTGCACAAGAGGCGCTTCCTTGTACAAGAGGCGCTTCCAAAACGGAAAGGTGTTATGCACAAAAATATCGTTTACCGAGTTTATATTTCCGGCGTGAAAATGCTAATTTTATACCATCTTCCAATGGTTCCCCAGTGGTCTGTGAGAGGTTTCGAGGGGTCAAGTGTGACTTTTTACAAAGCATGAGCTGTGCTCTTTCTATTGGGTTGGATATCAAGAGCGACGCCCGCTCCCCTTCCGCCCACTAATCCAAAAACAGTTGGCAAATAACTAAACATTCCCCCGGGGGCGAAAGTCCTCACATCAATATCATTTTACAAATAACTACACCGTACGCACATGTATATCACATTTCTTACCTATATTTCATAGTAAAATTATGTATTTTGTATTTCACATAAATTGGGTGGATTCCGGCCGCGAAAGCTGCCAGCGTCTGCGCCATTTCCGCATAAATGTGCGAATTCTTTCGCGGACCGCGTAGTTCGCTGGCTTTTTCCTCCCACAAATCAACGAAGGCGTCATCCGCTGCTGGTAACCAAGTAGCTTTAGTTTTTTTATTATTTTCCATCTTTATACTATTTATATATGTAGTTTAAAATATTTATAAATTTAAGACGCCGGCAGTCAATTGAGAAAATGAAATTGACATGATATTGACAGCTGCAAAACATTGTTGCCATGTTTCGATAAGAATGAAACAACAAAAGAGAAAAAATCCCGTAAATGAACACTATTGCCATCATTCAATATTAAAATACAAACAAACCCAACATAAACACGCTGTGAAAGATGGGTTTGAAGTGAGTTTGGGTTATGATATTTGTATGGGATTTGACAAGTGTTTTGACTGGTGTTTGCGATTAAACACGCTAGCGGCAACAAACCCAGGGTTTGCCTCTTGGTGGAAACGTAATATAACTCAGACTTGAATTCAACTTGCCCTTTATGCTCCTTAATTTTTTAACTGGCCATGAATTTTATTACCAGGGAACGGATTTTATGGAATTTGCCTTTTTCTGCTAAAGAGATACAGTATATTCGATTAAGAATGTCCACGATTTAGCTTGCCCTGATTCCATATTTACACATTTGATGTTGTTTTTTTTTTGTCTTTTTTAATATATTTGCCTTGTTTTACCTTTTCTACAAGCCAGTATGCAGCTCCCAAAAAAAGAAAAAACTCCATTTAAAATGGCGTACAAGAAATGGCTAAATTTTCTTGTGTCAAATTTCCTTAAAGGCCTGTATGCAGCTCTCAAGAAACGCGAAAACTCCATATAAAATGACGTACAAGAAATGGCTAAGAAATTTTCTTCAGTCAAATTTCCTTAAGGCAGTACGCAGTTCTTAAGAAATTTGGTACGCTTTCTACTACGGTTTTCTAGAGTTTTTTGTGAAAAAGAGCACAAGGCAACCCAGGTTTGCAATAGAAATATATGCCCGTTCCATTATTTCTTGAGGAAAGAGTGAGGCAACAGAATGTTAAGTATCAGATGTCAAAATTCCGTAGACACACACACGAAATATGTACTGGCAATTTTTTTGTTGTCCGTTTTCTTGAGAGCTGCATACTGGGCTTTAGTTGTAAAGGGCAAGGAAAAAGCCCTTATTCCTGATAATATGAAGGTTTTAAACGTTCTATATTTAAATTGGACGCCTCTTATATCAACTCACGTCGAGCGCACATTTAGTACATTCAAGGCTTTTCTTCGCGAAAATCGAATGAAAACGCTGGCAGACAACTTCAAAATGCGTCTTGTGGTTCAATGTTACTACAACTATAGAGAGTGAGTTAAAAACTCGAAAGGAGTCAAAGTAGAACTTTTTCATATAATGAATGTAGTCATAATTTTTCTCTTTTTTCTTGTAAAATAAACATTTCTCAAACAAATGCATTTTTTGATAATTTTTCGAGATTTTGGCCTTTTTTGCCTTTTTTGCGATTTCTAGTGCCTTTTCTAGCCTTTTTCGTTGTTTTATTTTGCGTTTAGGTCTTAAAAATCCGTTCCCTGTTTATTACTTATTCTTTTGGGAAACATTCAGAAATTCTGAGTGTACTCTTATTTTCGATATTAAATATGCTTTCTTAATCATTAAAAAGCCCGGGTTTCCGGTGAAATTTCAACGAAATTGCGCCTTGGAACTTTAGACTCAGCGAAATCTCGACGGGATGCATTCTTATTATATATATAGGAAGGGTAAAGGAATGGTAAATGAATACAGGGACATATAACCCTATGTAAGCATTTTGCTAATTGAATTACAGAGAGTTGGTACTGAAAGAATTTTCCATTTAATGTGACTACAACCTAACGAATTTTGAAACATCGGAAACCATCGATATATCGATGGTTTCTGGCGATGTCTTTTAGCATCGATGTTCATTTTTCCGATGCATAGTCGATGTATCGATGTTACTGCCCAAAATTTTTTATTCCTACCTGTATAATACTAGCACGAATTCGATTTTCTCCGAATTTCGGACATTGCCCAACCATTCGATTAATTGATTCGAAATTTGGTGGTGGATTTATATACCATTTTCTCACAACATCCTGAGTTACTTCCCTCCCCCAATTACGATCGCGAATTACCCCATTCCCACGAACACATTCTTAATTCGATTTGACAGTTCTGTGTCTGTTTTGTTTCTGTTTTTCTTCGCTGCAAAATTGATGCAAAATATAGGCTCTAAAAATTTTGTATGGCGAATTTAATAATTCGAAGGATAATTGGAGTGCGAATCATGAATGAGAGAGCGAAGTACGTAATTGGGGTGCCGTGTAGTGTTGCCAGGTCTTCAGCATGAGAAAACGTCCCTCTTGGTCTGAAAAACGTCATTTCCTACCCAAATACGTCTTTTTCAAATGTATGCACACAGAATTGTTCTTATTAAACTTTTATTGTATACAAAGGTACATAAGTATATATGTAAGGTATATTATTCGACAGAGCATATTTAAAATTCATTGTAAACTGGTTTGAGATCGTTAATATAAAAATCATTTTATACATACACTTGTGATCAGCTAATTAAGTCATCAATATTTTAATCGATTGTGGCTGTTTTGCTTTTGTTTATTTAATGTTTATTATTTTTCCATAAAAGCCTAGCTCATTATATAACAAACGAAATATAAATCCACATTTCATTTGTTCAAAAATTATAAAAAACCTGCAAAGTTTCAGCTAGATTTTCAACTTTTTATTCGGCTTTTTAAGCATTTTTTTGTGTATGCAGTTTGATAGCCATTTAAGTTGCTAAAGAATCGTGTTGATTTTTAATATATATTTTTTTCTCTTGTAGACATTTGGTTAGGTGGTCGGTTGTCGAAAATGCTAAATTATGTTCTGCTAAGAAGGAACATAGCAATATTTCAGCCTTTTTTGCGTTCATTACATGTTCAATGAAGTCTTAAAAAAGTCGCCTACTTTTTTCTGACTTTTTATGCTGCTACAGCTTTTTTGGTGCTTTTGCGAGCGCGCCTGTTGCAACTGGAAGTTGTTACTCGTCGTGAACGGACGTGTTTTTACCGTGCTCCGAGTTTTTCTTAAATTCAACTTGTGCTTTTACTTTTAATTCAATGGCGCATAACAATTAAAATTGTGTTACGAGACATTGACTCTGTTAGCCTTTTCCTGTGCTTTTATATTTTACCAATTGGATTATTATGTCGTGTTTTTGTGGCCATAGGGTCGAGCGCGCCCAAACTTCAGTGCAATGTGAAAACTGCCGAGAAATTTATCACTTAGATTGTGTTGTTGGTAACTTGCCTGCCGACCCAAATTATCTAAATAATGCTGAAAATATATATATCTGTGGTTTGTGTGCTCCCGCTCAACTAGACGAGTCTTTGACTTCGCATAACTCGTCGTTACAACAACAGCAAGCCATACAAGTGCAAGTGCCAATGCCGCCTACTGGCGATGATAATTTTAACGAGTTGAAAAGAGTTAACTCTCAACTTCTTGCTGCTGTGACTGCTTTGCATAATGATAATGAGTGCTTACGTCAAAAAACAGATTGTCTTCAAGCCGAGGTTCGTGATTTGCACTGTAAGCTTAACGAGAATAATACAACTTTATCTCATTTGCTCACTCGTTTTGAAAATTTCTTTGATGTATACAACAACAACACTGCTAAATCCATGCAGCCAGCTTCTACTTGCGCCCCAACAGGTGCTATGGGCTCTGTCGACGTAGTTGCTAATGCTGCTGAAACAACAGCTGATACTGCTGCTAATCCGCCGCAGCCTAATGATGCTGCTGCTGCTGCTAGCATTTCAACTGCGACGCAAATTCCAATCGCCGCTACTTCGCAATCTTCGTCGCCTACTTCGGGTATTGTTGTCAAGCCTCCTGCAGTTGTTGGTAACGAGAACGAATGGAGAACAGTGCAGAATAAAAAGAAATACAAACGAAGTAATAAAAA